TACAAAAGGTCTGCAAATAAAACATCCAGATATCTTGATTATTATATGTACTTAAACTATTTTAATTATTTATCACAATCATATGAGATGTTCAATATTTCGAAAGAAAATCAATTATTGAGTATTCTATAAAGTTAATAACAACAAATATAGATCACATTTCGTTTTTACCTGAACTGTATTGTATTAATTTAATATTAAGCTGTATTATAGTCGATTTTTTTTTTTTTTAAATAATTAATTTCTCCTTCTTAATAAATAAATAATTTCATCAAATAAAAATTGAGTTTTCTATATAATGTAATGAATTGATTGATATATATTTTTAAATATATCTATGATTTTTCTGTACTATAACTCAAACCTTTTCGTGTCTTTCTGAATTCAGTTAATTTCGACCGTCATTAAATTTGTATCTATGAATGAAATCTATTTTGGATTAGGTTTTTAGATTTCAAATCATATAGTATATCATAATATATTATGTACTATAGGTGTTATTATTTAATTTTTGATATCTATAAATATTTTCCATACATTTTATCATTCTATTTTTTTATCATTAATACTTGTTTAAAATTTAAAATTAATATATTCTGTTCTTCTGATATATATATAACATCCGTTCGAAAACTAATAAAAATTATTTTTGTATAATCCGAAATTAAAATATCTATTATACATAAATTCAATGAGAAGTATGATATTGTTATAATAGAATTTTATGTGTTTGGTAATAATATGTTTTTTTAAATATCAATTGCTCAATATTATTATAACATAATGCTATGAATTCATTAACATCGTATGATTTACTTTATTTTATAATAAAAAGACAACTTCATTCAGTTATAATAATTCATTATTACAATTTAATAGATAATATTTGTAAGTAATTTGGTTAAAAATATATTTCTAAACTAACGTAGATCACATTTTGAAGCCGAATTTCATTTTTGGAACAATTTAATTGAGTGTGATTTTATAAAGCTAATTTCATAAAACGTGTTGCAATTAATTTCCGGTATGTATTTCAATTGCTTTTAATTTGAAAAACATATACTCAAAAAGCCTTTATAATACAATGTTTAATGTTAATCTTATATTTTATATATAATTTATAGATAACTCAATAAGTTTGGAAATGGTCATAAATTGATTGGAACCGATAACTGATAATATAATATAGTTAATACGATTATTAAATATTTTACATTATAAATATACGGCAGCGTTATCTGTTATTGCTTCATGTAGGTATTAAAATATCCATACAGTAATTAAGAGTTACCAAATTCATGCACACTTGATAGGTACGATCTAAATGATAATTAAATGAACGTGTTAGCTTTTATTTTGAATACGTAAATATTAAAAAAAAAAACTACTTAAACTTTTACTAAAATGTTAATTTGATCGTACTGATGTATTCAAATTAATAAAGTAATACTTCACGGTAAGTTTTTATCTTAAGTTTATCTAACAGCCATATAATCTTAATTTGTCTTCATGCAATCTCTTACGTTTATTTAAGCTTCTTAAATAATAATTTTAAAACAACCTTTTATTTTATTTGCAATTAATTCTAATTGTTTAATATAATCATTTATATAGCTTCTTAATGCATTTAATTTAAAATATTCCTTGAAATATTTATACTTAAATTATATGTGTTTTTAATTAATATATAAAAACTGTTTTTATATGAAACTACTATCAGATTACAAATAAAATCAATTCATTAATAATATATTCTTATTCATAAAAATATTTACAATTGTATTAGTATTTTAAAACGTATTCACTAAGCAGATAAAAAATATATAAAATGTTACACTATGTTTAATTAATGAAAATAATATACATTTTTTAATTGCTTTGTGATAACTAATCATTGTTTCAAATATATTAGTGGGTAATAATTGCATACGATTAATAATGTATTTTTACGTAACTAATTTGAATGCCGTTTTAAAAATGTCAAACGTCGTGTATTATAATATGCATTAAGCACTTATTCATAATTTTAATACCCAATAGTACTTAAGAATTATGACAATCAGTAATCATTTTTAAATACTTCATCTGAAGTTTTTATTCTATGTATAACTTTTTGAAGTATATTCTATTCTTCTATTTAATGTCTGTCGCCCTTTTCGGTTTTTATTATATATTTTTTTTTTAATCTACAAAGTATTGATATATTACAATACTATTCACTAAAGTCGTACAATTTTGTTCATTTAGATACTGTAATATTTAAAATGTGCTTATATATATATATATATATATATTTTATGAATAATCATCTTGGGAGATAGATCACACAAAAGTAAACTTTTAAAATTAAAATAAAAAGTTTGTTATACTCATGGTAAATATATATATTTATATTAACTTAAAAGCAAAACGCAATCACCTTATCGTTTTATCGATATAAGAGATTTATATGATGTGTACGATATAATGTATTATAATTCTCATGTGTTAACATATAGAAGCATATCAAGATTATGAGACGTTAAATGAAAAAAATAAAAATAAAAATAATAAATATTAAAGTAAAAGAAAAATAATTTGTACGCTAAAAATGGACGTGTCAGAAATAAACTCTTTATTACGGAATAGAGTACAAAATCATTATTATCTTAAACAGTTATACGTGAGTGTGTAAAGGATATATTATTATTATTTTCACGTAAAACAGTCTGTAGGTGAATACATTGACTTTGAAGTGAAGTTTAAATAGCTATCTTAACGACTCCTTTGTTTCGTGTAACATATATTAACCCAACAGTAGTCAAATATGATATATAGTTTATAATCAATTATTTAAGCAGTCTTGGAAACATGACGTTGAAGTATATAAAAAAAAAAAAAAATTATTTTTGTTGACAAATATTAATTATATTAGACATTTAGTGTACTATATTATTTTTTTTAAAACAATTCAGTGATTTATTATACTATTGGTTATAGCTGATAATATCATGTCGCAGAAATACATGTTATAAATCTATTAGTATATACATACATCATCAAGCTAACTTATTATATGCATATTCTTAACGTGTTATAAAACTACTGTTTATATGGGTTTTTTTTTTTAAATTCTTCATGAATTTAAAAATGTATTATGTACAACGTGTGTACAGTATAGTGTAGTATGATACATCTAAAGCGTTGTTGATTTTCATTAGAAAATTGTTTATGATTATATAAGTACACTATATTTTACCATAATAGAGACGATAATTCTTGTGAAAAAATATACACATTACCGTTCAGAAATATTAATATAAGCTACTAGGAATTTTATTTTCATGAATCTCTATTTAAATGTCTAAAAATATAAAATGATAAAATAAAAAAAATTAAAATATTTGATAGACATCAAATTTAAAATATTGTGGCATTAATATCAATTGAATGGAAATTAATCAACATATTTAAAACGAAATATACAAAATACATCAATATTTTTGATAAATAAATATTGTTATATTGCAATTAATATGAACTTTTTAAAGATTAACATAAAAACCTAGAGTTTTAATTATATAATGTTAATTATTTGATATCGTGAAACTAACACTAATATAACTATTAAAGCGTATTAATAAATGATTAAGGTTGGTAGTTGATTTGAATACAAAAGCTAATGCAATATTCCATTCGTAAAAGTAACAAAATGTTATACATATATTCTGGTTAATTTAACTTCGAAATCTTTATAAAAGTAGAGTATTAATTTAGTTTGAATGAAATAACTAAAGAAAAAAAAATAGCAGATTTAGTACGGGTACGAGTACAAAAAACCCCAAAAGTCGTATGAAACATGAGATTGGAGGGCTGGCGTGTTTTTGTATAGAAAATTTCAAATATATTTTTTACTATTTTTTAGTACTCTATTTGTTTGAACTATTATACACTGTTGCCATTTTTAAGTCTAACAACTGTATAAAAACGTTAATCAAGATGTCCTCGTGTGGAGAACAGATTCACATCTAACTCAATTAATACTCTGGGCCGACTTGAATTCCGTCATAGAACTAACATAATATCTTATCACAAATGAAGATTTTTCTTCGTTGCGCATAAATTTTAATTTATAGTAATAGTTGACGTAGTCTATTTCACTAAAGTGACCGTATAAAAACATATAATATAGTTAGAGGTATGGTGAATTTATGTCAAACATAATTGTTCAAAATGTATTGAAAAAAATAGTTAAGTGCACATAGTTTGGTGTAAATGATACCTTATACTATTCTCTTCATATAAAGTATAAAAATTTAAAAAAATGTTATCAAAATTTAATCAAAAATAACAATTAATAGTTATCTTTGGTGGTAATAATAAGTAACAGTGTTAACAATAAAGACATTATGGTATATATATGGTTAACCATTTGGTTAAGCAACAATTGCCAAAAATTGGTAGCATATTCACAATTTATATTGAATTACAATTAATTTAAGGGATCATGTTAAAGTTAGAGTGGTAAAATTAAATTAAATGATAAAATTTGAAGTACATTTTTACTAGTAAAATATTACCTTGTAAATTAACTTACTCACATATATTATTTAAGTAAGTATTACAAGTGGTGGCGGGAAACGCCTTTTTTCCAAGCAATCTTGTAGATCTAAGTGTAATAATAGTAATAATAATATAACTTATACGATACACAAATAATATATTATTTTATATTTTTTAAGAACAAAATTTGCGGAAAATAGGAAATTGATCGTCTGCCGGAAAGTAATAATAATATCGTGTTTTTAGCGGTTAGTCGCGGTCGCGTAATGGTTTTTTAATGTCTGTGCATTAGACTGACAGCATGGCTGCGGACAGAGCGGGGAAAATAGTGTATGGTGTACGAGGACCAGTGCGCTGCAGCTGGGTGAGAATAATGATATTGTATATTATTATTAATGTTTTATTATTACTATTATTATTAATAAAATTATAATCATATATTCAATTTGGTATCTTACCGGTATAAGACTTTGGTCTTCTGCTTAGACGTTATATCGTGTTATCCAATTGAAAAAAATAATCAAAATGATCCAGGAAGAAATAACAAAGTTTATAAAAACAGTGAATATTAATCAAAAATAATGCACTCAAAGTCAGCGGAGGAATACGGTACAAGTCTGAAGTCATACAGTTTCAGTTCACCGCGAAACTTTACGCGTTCGTAATGTCGTTGACGAGTTGGTTTAAGTGGCGCGCGAGCGTTAAACACACGTTCGACGTCTGCCCTACGAGTCAGCGAGAATACTGAGTTCGGTTTGGGCACCACGCACGGCGGCCGGTTTATACCGTCTCAACCACCCCTAAATTAACCCCCCCCCTCCGTTCACCATCCACCATAGCGATTGCCCTGAAAGGAAAGGGGGAGCGCAAGCGCGTCGGCAGTCCACGCGAAATTCACCGACACCAGTTACACGCTAGCGGGCTACCACGAATTTTTGCCAGCACTCTGTCTCGAGTTAGTTTGGATATTAATAATATAATTATCATCGTAATTATTACGGCTGTGAATGTAATATCTTACAAATTATTTTTTCCTTTTAAATAAAAAAAAAAAGAATTGCAGAACTTTCCAAAATAAGAATTATTTCTATTTAATTTTCCGTTGCCACTTGTAATCCAGATTTTTACATTGTGTGTCATTAGGTTCGTTTTGAAATTTAACGATTAATAATATTTGTTTATACGACAACCTCAATAGCACATTAAAATGCTTTCAAAATTGAAAAAAAAATTACTTTAATTTTGAAAAATATCAATAGGTATTGCGTAAAAAAAAAATTTCTTATTCCTATTTAATACTACATGAAATGTATATACCTACTATAAAACAAGCATAGCATAACTAACTTTGAAAATGTAGATAAAACATAAAAATCCCAGCACCAATAATTATTATATTAAATTATATGATTAATATTTCGACATCGGAAATGCGATTCGATTATAATGAGATCTAAAAAGAATAAATATGAGACGGCGTTGTGACGACGTGCATTATAAATCTAATATATTCAGAACTTTGTGTATTTTTAAATAATACATATATTATATTGAATTATTTCAAGTGTGTACTACACTATTCTAGTGTTATGTTTCGGATATATTATTGTGGGATCTGTATGGACACCTACAGGTTTCAGACAAACGGATAGAATTATAGGTACCTAAGGACACACATCGAGCTGTGGAGCGCTGTTTTTATTAGAGTTCTTCGGTATTAAAATATAAAACAATATCTATATTACAACCAAACGTTATAACTTATAAAAATATATTATTTTATATGTATATTAATAATTTTAAAATAAAGGTTTAAAAATATAATTCAAATATACTCGGAAAACAGTCAATCTTGTCTATATTATACAAATACTTAATAAAATAGTTTTTAATTTTTACTTAAAAATGAACGATAATATTATTCAACATCACTGATAAAAATTTAATTCAAACACAGCCAGGTACTCTGCTAACTTTGATTTAATTACGTTGTACCATCGATGAGAATTTATCTTTTTAATAAAACTTCAATGCTAGAAAACTATTCACATATAAATGCTTTACAATATTGACGTAATGGATTTTATCTGATCAGAAAATCATAGAAATCACGTTTATTCTTTGTCCCTTGATACTGTTGCAATATCGTAGTTGTACCCATGCAATTTACAAAATTAAAATAATCGACGACATTCATAACTTTACCCCACAGTAGGTTGCCGAAATTCGTAGCGAGTACAATGATATTTAAATAGCACTCAGATATCAAATACCTACATTCAATTTTATACTTTATGTATGTTAATTAAGTACAGTCATTTGAAACTTGTTTACCACGTGTTCATTTACACGTGTATAATATTGCTGAAAACCACCCGATGTCACGATATAATTATTTGTTTACTCACGTAAACATACTCTTACCCCTACCCTTTTTATACAAAATAATAATACGAAAAAAAAACTTAAAACTTCAAAATTCGTTTTATTTATGAATAAACATTTTAAGGACTAAATAATAAATAAAATAATAAAATAGTTTTTACTTTTAAAAAGAACATAATTTTTATAATTTTTATAGTAAGTATTTATAAAAAAAAAAATTGGATATTTTTCATTATAAAATATTTTCCCTGTCTCAATATTTAAAACAAATATATACCATAATATATTGTAATATAAAACATGTATTATTTGTTTCAGAATGTAGAAAAAAAGTATAATTTAATACGTATTCTATAATTAATTATTTTAGATGTGTCTAAAAATAATATGGTTGATTGGAGTATCTTGCAAGTTTTCGAAAACTATAATACTAACAATATAACTGGAATCAATTTATTCAATAGAACATTTAAAATTATTTGTATATAAACATTAGAAATATTATACGAAAGGAAAATTTGAAACTATAAGAAATATTAGAGGCTTAGCCTGCAGTTAAATATAATATTATTATCGGATTTCTTTAATAATGCCATAAAAGTCAAGGAAAATTTGCTAATTAAAAAAAAAATTGTTTTTACAAACCAAGGGAAAACGATAGTATCTGAACCAGCCGTGTGTAAATAAACACTTATTTGATTTTTTTAATTTTAATAATTGCTCAATATTTAATTTGTAACTGTTTGTTGATAAATAGTTATGAATTGTAATTGCCAAGACTTGTTTTCCATTTTATTTTTTTTTGTTTTTATCGTTCATAAGTGTCTTCATTAATTCAAATGTGTATTTTTTTTATTTTTTTTTTTTTTCATATATTTTATTAAATCTTAAAACTGTTTTATCATAAATATTATTTTACATGCAGCTATATGAATTTAAATTAATTAATTTAAATTTAAAGTATTATTTGAGATAATCTTAAACTTTTTTTTTTTATTATTAAAATATATTTACAATCTGCTATTGAAAACAATATGTAATAATTTTCAAAAAAATGTTATCATAATAAGCACATGAATCATTTTTGGAGGAAGTTATTCATTAACAACACCTTAAAAAGTTTTTTTTTTTGTTTTAGCTTAAAATTCTCCTTAAACTTACAACATTTTTATCTAATACTATTATAACGATAACTTATTCAGTAAACTTTAAAAAATAGGTACCTATTAAAAATTATTATAATATTAAAAACTTACTAACATCATCGATGTATTAATGAGAATAAATTTATTTCAAATTTTCATAACTATAAAAATAAAATAACAAATAGTTAATAAAAACAAACAAGATAATTGTGCTATAAAATAATATCAACAAAAAAAATAATTAAAATTCACTTATAATCAATTTTATTATTTATGCAAAAATAAATTTTAAACAGAATTTTATTAATGAAATCGCATTAACATTTTTGACAGTTTTTGAATTATTTTAGCTAAAAAATACTTTCAGATTAATTTACACACTTAGTTTTTTAGTACTTTAGATATTAAAATATCTAGTTTTTAAGTGTTTATTAATGTATAAATCAATATTATGAAAACAGCAAAGAAAATAAAATACTTGTTATATTTGTTATTTGTATTGACATAATATTGTGTACTACCCCGCTGAACTAACAGACAATAATAGTACTGTAATAATAATAATAATTATTATTATTATTATATATTATATTATAAATATATGTGTAATTATATCTCATGGAAATACCTGTTAGATTATATTTTTTCTGCTCTTATAGGCCAGTCAAATATTCTCCTTAAAATGTATAACCCAAACAATTATGTAGCCAGCTATCAATCTAACCAATCTAGTTATTATATGTATACCAATTTAACACCATAAAAAATTGCTTCTCTTTAGAAATTATCCATTACTGCAATCGACTAAAAATAAAAATAAAATAAACGTATTACGTATTTCTTTTTTTCCAATGTTAATCGAATAGACGATGTGCAAATAATAACTTGAATAGATTTAATGGTGACTTTTGACAACAAAATTAGTGGCAGTGACAGAATGATGAGTATTATTTCTCGAATTTCATATTTTCGTGGGTCGTATAATATCTCATGTTGTATGGGTGTCACTACAACCGAGTGTATTTGGTCGTTATGTATCTTGACAAAATTGATTGGTTGGGAATGAAAATATAAAAATAGAACAAAATATGATGTAGATGGGTACTTCCAAGGGTTCCAGTAGAGAGTTAATTTATTAAGAAGTCAGAGTGAATAAAAGTGGACACCATATTATTTTGATATTTAGGTTACAACCCTTTATGTAAATAAACACTATTCAGATTTTTCAGAACCTCAAAACCATGTAAACGGCTGTAACTGACGGTAAAACATCAAACATTGTACTTAATAACTTTGTTTATTCTCTAAAAATCATTTCGTTTTTTTTTTTTTTTTTTTTTTTTTTTTATTAACGATAACTACTAGAAATTAGCCAACATATAAGTTCTAAATTAAGCATTCAAAAGACTTTTTATTATTAATATTTTTATATTTATATGATTTGTATACATTGGAACACATAAAAATAATAATTGTTTTTACCAAATTATTAATTATGTACTTATTTTGAACCATTAAAAATGTATAGAATACAATAGCTGTAAATAACTTGCTAAAATTAAACTATTGTGTATTGTCAATACTTTTTATAATTAACTTCACTTAAGTAGGACACAAATTTAAATCATATAATATATAAAAATATGACAAGCTTCAGTTATTGCATTGGTTAATATGAACCATATTATATACTCTGAGCTCTTAACATTCACTAAGTTTTTTTGATATTTGCGCAATAGCAATATTTTTGCCGACTCTGATTACAAATCCTCTTGATTCTCAAAATCAGAAATCAAATTATTTATTTTGTACAAACTTTTCGTTCTTTCTAGAAGATTTATAGATGTATTCACAAGGTATTTACTGCTTAGTGTCAATAACTCAAATGAATGATTTGTTCATTATCAAAGTTACTTCGTAAAACGAAACTGTTGTGAATATTTACAACACTAAATATTTTTTTTATTATTAATATATGTATATTATTATGATAATATAAATTTTGATAATTTTTGTGAGTTTAATTTCAAACATATAACAAAGAGCAAACAAAACTTAGAAAAAACACTGTTGTTAGTAACTATACAGCATATTATTATTTTACCATAGTGACTTAAACTTTTATCTAATTCAGTGATTGCCGTGTTTGAATTATTTGCATCATTATTACTAGGGACGCAACGAGTTCTTAGTTCA